GGACCACGGACTTGGCGTTATTTTGACGCGGATCTCGGTGAGCAAGGTCCCGCGTTTGCCTTAGTGCTTTGTGCTTACGACGCCGCGTTTGCGCTCGGGGAACAGGTGAAGCTCAAGTGTTTGAACGTTCGGATAGGACGGAGCGTGGCGAAGGCAACACTTCGGGTGAGTAATGAGGAGTTCTCAGCGTTTGGCACAAGCTAACATAGTGCGATACAGAGTACGCATCTGTAGATGCCCTCGTAACACCTTGCGTCCCAGGCGCGCATACCGTCATCGTATGGAGAGCGCGTCTTTGACGGAGGCTTTTCGTAAAGTAGTTTCCAGGAGGCAGCAAGCGTTGTCTGGATCAGACTCGACCTCCGGGGCGGCTTCTTCGCAGCTAATCACTATGGTGTTGGGCAAAGCGGGCGTAGTATTATATATGCGAAGAGTAACGGGCTCGCAGGGGCGTCCAATACATGAAACATTCCATTGCAATGGCGTGGCGTAGATTCGTGAAGTACAATGCGAGATACAACGAGTACGCATCATTGACTTCCCGTACGCGTAACTTCGAATCTGACATTCTTTGCCAAGCCCTTCAAACGCGACGATTGTCTTTTGAGAAGCGTTGAGCCGGTTCCGGTTTTGGCTTTGGCTTTGGAACTGGTATACTTGAGGCGCATGCGCAGAGCGTCAACTAAAGGCCAGCAGTCCACATAGTCGTTCAGGACCGGAAGTTGGGAGGCGCCCTGCGAGGGGCAATGAAAACCGTTTTCCTCGTAAACACGATAAAGGTAAGTTTCACTCACGTCACTCAGAGCCTCTGCTAAATTGCGTTTGGATTGCCTTGAATAACAGATCGCAGGAGAAAGGTGCTTTGTGACCAGCTGGCGAGCTAGGCGCTATGACGCGGACGTACTCAACCGCAGTTCGGTAAAGGGGCACGGAAGCCTCGAACTTACAATGAGATCCTGATAGAGGGTGGGGGTTGGTGCTAGGACCGCGCGCAGCGAGTAACCTCCCCTATCCGGGCGACCGACTTCGCCGAGAGGCTTGGGAATTCTGGCGCGACCGTCGTCAATCGCAGGAGGATCATCGCGTGACTCCTCATCCTCGTCATCAGTTTCCATCCCCTCAACATTGACGGAGAAAGCACGTGTCGTGGGCGAAGACGGAGTGGGAGGCGATGAAGATATCACAACGGACGAGGTTACAACAGGCGACAGTCGACCACGGGAATGAGAAGGTCGGGAGGGAGGGTGGTCGTAAAATGTCGGTACAGCGGTTGTGTACACCATGATGAGGAGGTCGAGGGGAAAGAGTGATGAAGGCTGCCCATGAGCACTGTGCAGCTTTATATTTTTTGGACGCAATCACGCGGCGCTTAAAAATCGGCGGCCCCTTGCTCCGCAACTGACATGGGCATTTACTACTGGACTACGGGATAACCAGCTGGACTACGGGATAACCAGTCTATGCCGGCGGTCGATCGCAATCACAGTTCCGTCATAAATTTGGCCCACGATATCCGCGCTTTGGAAGCGGTTTGGGGTGCTCCAAATCGCGCTTGCAATATCTATAATGACGTGAGTGTTCGCGTCCTTCTAGAGACAACAAGACTAACCCATTGTTTGATTGCAGGAAAGGTCTCCAACATTACGTTGATGAACGCCAGCAAGCCCACGGCCGACCATATCAGTATGGCGAAGAATACCGCGCGGGATCCGGATTTCGGCATCGGCTCTGTAGTCGATTTGCGTGCCACGCTGAGGCAAACCGCGTCAGTAGCGGAGACCGCCGTTCGGGGACGGCGCCAAACGTTGATGAAGCCCTTCCCTTTGTAAACACCACTCGAGGCGATGAATGCCCACTGTGGGGTGGTTCCGGCCTGGACGTCGGTCTGAGGGTATGTATGTGCATGTTTTGTGTGGGATATTGTCACTCACCGTGATCGCAGGAGAAGAGGATGAGGAGCGAAGGCGCAACTTGAAGGCGATTTTGCCGGATAGCTTGTCGAAGACGTAAATAATGCCGTGGTCACTTGCAATCAACACTTCTCGTCCTCCGTCCCCAAAACGAACTTGTCTGGTGTTGGCCGGTGGAAACCCTTTCTGCCCGGTCACCAGTTCGCGGATGTGAGCGAGTTTGCCGTGCCGGTAATGGTGAATGCGATAGGCGCCAGCGAGCTCTTGCACCACCAGTTCTGCTCCGTCGCCGGTCTCCAGGCTCCTAATGTCGGCGGAGCCACTCGATCGTGTCGTTCAGAAGGAGAACAGTGGTCCTCCAACGGGAGGGACTTACAGAATTGCGTTGGCGGCCGATGAACTCAATGGGCTACCTTTCGCGCCGAGCAACACACTGCGATGTGTTGTCAGTTAAAGTGAAGGCGGATCAGCGTTATTCAACGTACATGTCACCGTGGTCTCTGCCCAGGATCAAGACTTCATCGCGTCCAACGGTTGGAAACCCTACTTGTAAAGGGCGAACGTATGGATGGCATTCTACCGACCATATCGTTTTCGGGTCCTTGGCGTCCTGGATCAGCAGCAAATGAATATATCCGTCGTTCGTTCCAACGGCTAGGAGGGGGATCTGTGTTGTGGAAATCGACCAGTTGAGACAAGTTACTGCTTCGGCGGTCGAAACTTGGCGCTGAAATCGCTCCGCCATAAGCGGCACGGCTTGTACGCCCTTTGGATCTTTGATTTAGAACTAGGGACGATCAAGGACGTTATGCTTACCGCCGATTCCTGCGACCACAGAGTCAAGCATCCTGTGCTGGTTCCGAACGCCAAGATCGGTGGCGAGCGCTCTGGGGCCCACTTCGCACACACCACGGTACCCCTTGACCAGAATCCGAAGTCGGTCGGCACCGGTACTGGCCGCATGATTGGGAGCAGCCATAGATACACACCATCCCTGCCTGTTTGCGGAGGCAGGATATGAACGAACAATGGAAAGGAGTTCAAAGTCGCCATTAAAGCGCACCGCATCCAGCCAGGAGAGTACAGTCGGAAGATATGGCAAGAGTCGTGATAGACGACTCCGCCGCTGGAGCCGTTGCAAGTCGCATGTACCCTTGTCTCGTACCCGAGGAGTGTCGAAGAAACGAAAACATGCTGACGACTACGTA